TTGGACCTGGAGATTGGAATGCGGCTCTGCGGTAGTGTAAAATAAAATAAAAAAAACTATAAATTGTTTTAGTAAATGCCTGCAATTGGAGAGAAAGTATTTGGGTTCTCTTTTTAGAAGGATAGTCTGAATAATGCAGTGTCGGATATAAGTTACTGAAGATATGTCTTTACTCTTCCATTCTAGTTCATTGATGACTGTGGGGAACAGTGTTTAATTTAGATTGATGGATCTGAGAATGGGAATAAGTTGAACAGTTTATTATTATCTTTTTATCTTTATGAACCTTTTTCATATAGGCTCCTTTATCAATTTATGTCCTCCTCCCCCCACCCCCAAGAAAATATGGTCACTGTAACTATCGTGTACACCTAGTCTGAAGAAAACCATTTAGTTTCATGGAAATTGGTGAGATATTGAATTTACTCTTGATTGATTGATACATTGATTGATTCATTCATTAAATACCTTTAAACGGTGTCAACATTTTGTGAACAAATGAGCAGATTCTCTCCAGAATTACCTCACTTGGCCTTCTGAGTCTCCAGTTCACCTCACTCAATCACGATGTTGCTTGTTTCTATCAGAATTTATTCAATATGAGAATCCCATGTTTTCATTATCTCAAGTATTTTTATGTCATTACCCTTGACTCCTAAGCAACTGTCTGGACTAGTCATTGCATTTTTCTTGACAATATTTTCAAAAGTAGTTTGCCATTACCTTTTGGGGGAAGGAATTAAAGAGATTTTGATTGGCCCAAGGTCACCAGATGGCTTTGTGCCTAAAGCAGAACTAGAATTCACGGTCTCCTAGTTTCTATTCTTGTGCCATAGCCACTACACCAACCTGTCTTTTAGGATGTCTATGGAGATTATTAATCATCTATTAGGGTGTCGATTAGAATATTTCTATACTGCTTCCCATTACAAGTAATCCTGAAGTGGTTTACATTGATCATCAATATTTCAGCATTGAAAGAGGCTAAAACAATCCATGAACAGAACAGATATCAGGAGAAGATAATAGGTTGAAGAAAGATAAAAATGAATTCATATTAAAAAGATCCCATCTGTGCTAGAATGTGACATATTGCATGGGGGAGATTATTCCTCCCTAAGAGAGGACAAGTTTCCAGGAAATGGACATCTGAAAGTTCTGCACCAAGAGAAAATCTCTCTTTCTCAAGTATCCGTGAACATAAAGTACCTTGGCATGATATGCAGAGCAGGTCACACTTCAACAAGCCATAGCTAAAAAGAAATCCTGGTTTAGCATTTGGAGGTGAAGCAACTATAACACCAGAGACACCGAATGCAGGACCCCTGAATTACAACTGAACACACTGAACTTACAGTATCATGTTGGCTCTTTTGAAAATTGCATAAGGGAAATTCTCAGGATCTGGAATACACTATTGGAAGCAGTGACTGAGGGGATGGAAGAGAAGACATGCGATGGAATTTTGCAGCTCTCATATTCTCAATTTCTAATGCAATATTCACACAATACGCTTCATTGGATGATGGGCAGAGTTAAATATGCTGGGCAAATGTCATAGTTAGGTCAGCAATAGTCTCTTGCGCATCATTCTGTTGCTGGTGAGTTATTTAAGATTGCATGGAAGTAAATGTTTCTCCTTGGATAAGGATCATCAGTTACGTCATCCAAGCACAGAAGCATCTGTTAGATCAGTGAATGGAAATATCTTCTTAATAAGATAGTAATATTGCCATTTTTATTCTTTTGTTGATGTGCTTCGGTTTTTCCCTTAAATCTGTTTGCAATCAATAAGCAAGATTTAATTAAAAACTGGCTCCATTCGGTTTCACAGCCTACGAATACAGAATGAAATAACAGTAATAAATAGTCTGAACTTGCTCAGAGACCAAGGGTAATTATTTATACTTGATATAGTTATTCACACATCCTGATCTCAAGCATTGATTGGCCACAATTCTACAATGTTGCTTTTCTGTTATGTATGTCAGCTGGTGCTTCTAGAACAAGGATCAGAAGTCCCATAATTCTCCACTCATCACAAGTAATCTTGAACTGACTGGGGTTTATCCTCCAGAAAGCTAGCTGGAATTCCTTCAATTATCACTTTTGCATGTTGCAGATGGCACTGTTTTTACCCAAAGTAGCACAGATGGAAGGTTCATCTAACTAGGTATCTATAACATTATTCACAGTTGGTGAAGAAAGTGAAAAGAAATAGAAACCTTTGTTAGGGATACAGTTGCTATAAATAGAGTAATGAATGCCCATAATGAAGGATATTGGAAGGAAGAAGTAATAATTTCTCTCTACTTTATGTTGGACTTCACAGAAGAGTATGCTCAGTTCTGGGAACTACATTTTGGGAAGGACATGGTTCATGTCCACAGGAGATAAGGAGTGATACAGAGTCCTGAAGGAAAATTTAAAAGGAACAACAGGAGACATTGAACATGTTTGGTTGGAGAAAAGAAGAGTATGGAGAGGCATGGTGGCTGTTTCCAGGATTGGTGTGGTGGCTTAGAGGTGGCGCTCTTGCCTCACAATCAGAAGGCTGTGAGTTCGATCCTAGGTAGAGAACAGATATTTCTCTCTGGGCACAATGAGAATATATCTGCTGAACATAAATTCAGGAAGGGCATCCGGCCATTAAAACACTCTGCTAACTCCATTCAGTTGTGCAGACTCCACCCCACAAGGGATTATGAGGTCGTTGAAAGAAGATAATGACAGTGGCTGTTTCCAACTGTCTGAAGGGGTAGAATGGTTCAGGGATGTTTCAGAAGACAGAAAAATACAGAGGAGTTTAATTGATAAGGACGTAGATTTCAGTTGGACATCTAAAAAAAAGTGGGGCAAGGTTAGATTATGGGTTTTACTAGACCAGTTCAACCTCTTGTGGAGCTTATTTTATATTTGATATCCTAAATTATGTTAAAGTGATATTTTTTGTTGCTGCTACAAACATTGCCATCATGCTGGTGAATGGATTCTATGAATTGGTGGAACTAAGTTGGAGGAATTTTAGTTCACAGCCACATCTCTCTTCAATTTCTAGAATAATTTTGTGAGGTTTTGAGTTGAAACACTGTTCCATATATATTCTAATACATGCACATTGCAAAAACTTTGTAAAAGAACAATATTCTTCTAATTGCAATAAGATTGCCTGATTCTCCTACAATGTCCTCTTTTATATGTGTCTATACTTGTCAAAACATGTTGGAAAATATGTTTCAATACCTATGAACATATAAACTTGCCCTTTTGTAGTGAATGTATATGAGTGCCTGTTTGATGTAGAAGAAAACACAAAGCAACAATAGAACCTCAAAGTTTGATGTTTGATGTAGAAGAAAACACAAAGCAACAATAGAACCTCAAACTGTGGCCAATTGAGCAATTCCAGCAATCTGCAAAAAATATCAGAATCCAGGAATGAAAAGAAATGGATGTCTGCTAACACTTCCACTCTGGAAGCAATGGATATCTTTGGAATTTGAAACTCCTGGGATAAGTTTGGAAGAGAAGAAATTCAGAAGAATCCTTATGGAAATTCAGAAGAATCCTTATGGAAATCTTGATACATGGGAAGTCTTTTATAATTGACTCTCTAATATAGATATATTTTAAGAATCAAAGAAGAGCCTTCAAGGGAATGATCAGAAAATCTGGAAGTCTGGTTTTATCATTTTGTGGAAGGAAGGAAGGGAGGAAGGGAGGGAGGGAGGGAGGGAGGGGGGGAGGGAGGAAAGAAGGAAGGACTCCTGACTCACTGTAATCTTCAAAGAGTCCATAAATCTACTGTGATTATGAGCCACTGATCATTTTATCCTCCACAAAGTTGCATACGAGTTGTCCGATTTCATACCTTTAGAGTCTATTTAATATGTTTGAAAATCACTGAAGGCATTCATCCATTAAATGGCATCTACCTTAATGAGTTTGGAGCATAGAATAAGTCTGAAGTCACTCTTACATTTATTTTCATAAGAACTGAGTCATGAAGTATGCTGATGCTTTCTTATGCCTTGACTCTTCCTAGAAGGAACTTAGTTTCTGTTGTGAAAAGAATGGTGATAGTTTTATTGCAAGGGGAGCCAAAGAAATGGTGCCTCAAGGTATTCAACCAGCCATTAAACACATTATTTACCAAGGCAAACATGAAGCAAGAGAGAAGAAATCCGTATAGATTTCCTCCTTCTATGTATTTAACTGCACATTATAAAAGAAGAAGTGAGAACGTACATTTGGGTAATATTGAGAAGAGTAATTATTTAAGGTTTCCTCTTGGTTATTTTTTTTTTCCTTCCATTGTTTGTATTTAAAACAAAATCTGGTTAAAAAGTCAAATGTTAATTAAAGAGCTGAATCAATAAGAGGAAAATTTACAAGTAAGTTAGGTTCACTTGGTACAGCTGTCCTCACAATGAATTGCTTGAAGATACACTCGGCAGTCTCACATTAGAATCATCAAGGACACTTTAAAACAGATTTACCCAGTAGGAGGTATTAACATTTCTGCAGAACCTTAATGGGGGACTTTCACACCAAGAGAAAATTGAAAAGAGAAACATTTAAACAAAATGCAGATTAATTAACCCACAATTTTCAACATTCATCTGGCTATTAAAAGATGAGGCTCATTACTCAGCCCATCTTAGGAAGTGTCATGATCTGTTCTCTATCCATTAAGCCATGGAGTTTGGAGAGGAAAAAGGAGAAAAAGGAAAAGGAGGTGGTCATACTCTAGACTAGACTCCACCTGGACTCCAAGGATTGGAGATGTTGCTCTTCTCCACCAAGGCAATTGCCTTCATTGCTTCTGTTCTAACTTGGAATTATTTTCATTTTATAGAACCATAGAGCTGGAAGGGACCTTGGAGCTTCTTCTAATCCAAACCCTTGCCCAAGGCAGGAATGCTTATACCATCCTGGACAAATGGTTGTCTAATATTTTCTTTAAAAACTCCAGCAATGGAACATCCACAACTCCAGGAGGCAAGTGTCAGCATTCCAGGGAACATCCATTCCTGTCAGTAATTCCAAGACAAGCATAATTTCAAAAGTACTTTTATTAGAATAGCACCTGACACATCTGTGGAATTCTGAAACTAAAAGTTACCCGGCTTCCCCACAATGTCCCAACCTACAAACCACCCCCTTTTTACTCATCATCACATCGCATGAACCAATCCCAAAGTAAGTTCCAATTCTTTCTGCCCCACACTCTTTAACCTTGAGCAATCAAAAGAATTATATTTTGTCTACTAAGAGCTACTCAATTAACATCACCCCCCTCCCACTTTCTCCAGCTATGTGGCAGCGATGAATCATGATTCCACAGCTGACAGCAAGCTCTTCTATGGGTGAGCTTTTTCTCAACGTTAGAAAAATCCTCTTTATTTCCAGGTTGGATCTCCCTCTGATAACCCTAACTCATTGTTTCTTGTCCTGCTCTCAGGTTATATGAAGAATAAATGCACACCTTCTTCCCTGTGACAACTCTTCAAGTATTGGAAGATGGCTATGAGATCTTCCCTCAGGCTTATCTCCATTAGGCTAAATGTACCTAACAGCTTGCCTTCAGAAATTGTGGGTGCTCCATCACTTGAGGTTTTTAAGAAGAGACCAGTCACTTGTCTGAAATGGTATAAGTTCTCCTGCATGAGCAGGGGGTTGGACTAGAAGACCTCCAAGGTCCTTTCTATTCTATTCTATTCTATTCTATTCTATTCTATTCTATTCTATTCTATTCTATTCTATTCTATTCTATTCTATTCTATTCTATTCTA